TTTTTTCTCAAGGACTTACTTGATATTTGATTTGTGGGAGGAAATGAATGAGGACAGATCGGAGAGGATGTGATCGAAAACGAAGGAGCCTAAGGGACAGCTGATTGTGTCGTTGATTGTGAGAGCGGGGGCGTGCTCCCCCTCTAAACCGCCGTCTCGCAGCGTTCGGCAAATCCAGTCGGCCATTTCCTGCCGTCGCGTACTTTTTTTTCCCTTTACTTCGCAGGTCTTAAACCCTGATTTCGGAATTCACGTCCCAATTAGGGTGTTCATCGGTCGGTGAACCGAACAATGAAAATTGAATTAACTGAAATGCTATAAGTCAAAAACCGAATGGACCGAAATGTCTGTTTAAAATCGAAAATTAACAGAGCAAAAAGTCCAAAATTGCAATATGACTACAGAAACCCTAGCTTCACCGTCCGATGTCGAGATGGCCCGCAATACTCCAATTGATCTCACGGCTGACCCGCCGGATCGGGGACGGCCTGGCCCACGTTTAACGACTCCCAATTTGGTGGAAGGTTCCCGTTCGCTCAAACGTTCTCGTCCGCTGGAATTACCGGGGGGAGGTGGTGGGATGGGGAGCCGTCCGGTATCACCGAAATTTGTTGCACAGACGGAGAAGATGAGTTTTAAGGACATGCTCAATCGTCATCGTCCCCACGTAGTGCTCCACACCGAGGAGGAGGAGGAGGGTAGTGATGCGGTGGCAGATGTTTCGTCGATCGCACTGGTCTGTTGCCGGATGTCAAGCTGACGGACACCTTTTACGAACAGCTTCTTCAAGCTTGGCGGAATGTGGTTGTGATTAAGGTTATGGGCGCAGTGTTGCCCCCCCGTCTGCTCTATAGCAAGTTGGTGGCAATTTGGCCTTTCATGAGCGGGTGCGACATGATTGATCTGGAGAACGGGTATTTTCAGGTGCGTTTCAACACTCACGATGATGCAGTCCAAGCTCTCGTTGGCGGTCCCTGGATTATCTCGAAACAGTACCAGAAGTTCTATCTTCATGTGCAGCCATGGAGCGTGGATTTTGATGCGACCTGTAATCAAATTAAGTCGTTGGTGACGTGGATCCGTCTCCCTGGTATGCCAGTGCATCTGTACCATAACAAGGTGTTCAGAACAATTGGGGATATCGTGGGTCGTGTGATTAAGATTGATCATCAGACCGCTCAGCAGGCTAGGGGTAAGTATGCTCGCCTGGCGGTCGTTTTAGATGTTACTAAACAACTGTGTGCTGGGTTCACCATTCGGGGCAAGTTTCAGCGGGTTGAGTATGAGTTTCTTCCGGATATTTGCTTCCATTGTGGGTTTTGCGGACATGTGGAAACATTGTGTCCCCACCGCATAGCACCTACTGGGGACGAGGCCCAGGGAGAGGTCAGCCATCCAAGGGTCGGGAGACGCCCACCGCGCTTCAGACGAAGGGGCCCGCTCCGGGAGGTCTGAAAGAACCCACAGAGGAAGGTCAGCATGTTGGCGGGCTGTTTGGGCCTTGGCTGTTGGTGAAAACAGCTACTCGGGCACCCTCACGACCGAGGACCAGTGACCAGCGTAACGATAGGAGGACGGCTGCTTCAGGTCTGGGGAATGGTTTGCGATTTAGCGTGCTGGGGGGTGAGTTTGATGAGGCGGGTCCTATCCCTGCAGGTGTGACTGGCGCTCCGGGACATGGGACGAGCTATCAAGCGGGTTCGTTGTCTAGTGCTGGAGACACATTACGTGGCTCGGAGACCGCATGGCAGACAGTTACTGGCAAAAAGAAGAAGAATAAGAGTCTGGTTACACAGTTGACCTCTCGGGCTAATGTGGGGGGGTCCTCGGGAGTTCCTAAGCTGGCCGGTTCAACCGGACCAGTTGTTGTTGGGATTTCAGCCCCTGTGGGGAAAGGGTCGGGTGTGTGTCGGGGCGCTTCGACGTCGTCCGCGGGGAACTTCCCACCAAATCCCTTCTCGGTGTATGTGACGCCTGCGGCTACTATTTTAGACCAGACAAAGCATCAAGTTGTCCATGTGGTTGATCATCCGTCCCCATCTCGGTCTAGTGATGACGTGGACCTTTTGGATCTGGGTGATGTGACGATGGCAGTGGAGACCGAATCCCATACTACCGGAGTGCGAGGTACAGGACCCAGGGACCGGTAGGCGCAGGCCCAGGAAATGATGCTGGAGGATGAGGGAGGGACGCAGGTTCCAAGCTCGTTCTAGACGGGGTCGTCTTTATTTATACTCCTAGTGTTTTTATGGATATAGTTTCGTGGAATGTGCGAGGGGCCGCTTCCGACGCGTTTCGGAGGGCCTTTACTACTCTACGTCAACAATACAAACCGGATGTCTTTGTCTTGCTGGAGCTACGTATTAGTGGTGTACGTGCCGATAACTTCACCAAACGTAGTGGTTATGACCGGTCTTTTCGTGTTGAAGCCAATGGCTTTTCATGGGGGATTTGGGTCTTGTGGAAGCAGGAGATTCATTTGCAAGTTTTGGAATGCAGCCGTCAACATGTTCATACTCATATTCAGAGTGGTGACCAGTCGTCGTTGGTGACCTTCATTTATGCGAGCCCGAACCCTTCCATTCGAAGGGCACTATGGGGGTCTCTGAGCAGTCTGGCGGAGCGTGTTATTGAACCCTGGATTATCGGAGGGGATTTCAACTGCATGCTACGTGTGTCGGAAAAGCAAGGTGGTTCGCTTCGTAATTGTAATATAAGCTCGGCCTTTTCGGAGTGGCTTTTTAATTTTGATCTCCAGGAGCTGCGGACAGATGGTGATCAAATGACGTGGTTTCGTCCTGGGTTAGCAGAGAAGCTGGATAGATGGGTTGGGAACCAAGCCTGGCTTGACCGATTTCCTGATAGTTTGGTGTCCTACCTTCCACGTCTTCATTCAGACCACACGCCCTTGCTCGTCCGGGCTAAGCGGGAGGTTAGAAGGGGGGGCCCGAAACCCTTCCGTTTCCTTGTTGCGTGGCTTACTCACGGGGGCTTTAATGATCTGGTAGCCAAAGTGTGGGCCGCGGGGAATTCCTTTGAGCAGTCGGCTAGGGAGTTTGCCGACCAAGTTTCTGTTTTGAACTCCACGGTGTTCGGCAATATCTTTCGTCGGAAATGACGTCTCTTGGCCCGGATCGAGGGTATCCAACGGCAGCCACATTTCTCAGGAACCCCTTTCTTTGTCATTTGGTAAAGAAGCTGCAGGGCGCCCTGGACAAAGTTCTGCTTCAAGAGGAGTTGTTGTTTCTCCAAAAGTCTAAGCGGGACTTGACACTTTTTGGTGATCGCAACACTTCTTTCTATCACCGGCTAGTAAAGCACCGACGTCGAACGAATAAGGTTCTTTTTTTGTTGGATGACGAGGGCCGGAGAGTTGAGGATAATTCAGTTATGCAGCAGATGGCCGTTTCATTCTTTCAAGATATTTACCGGGCCCGGGAGGACGTCACCGATCAGCATCGACTCCCGGATGCGTTCCCGGCCATGGAGCCCGACAAACTTCGTGCTATTGGGATGACGCTCTCGGATGAGGAAATTTTGGCGGCTTTACAGAAGATGGCGCCCTTGAAAGCTCCCGGAGTCGATGGGCTTCATGCCTTATTTTTTCAGCGTGAATGGAAGCATGTCGGCCCTTCTGTCTGCGCCCAGGTTCGTGAGATTTGGCGGGGGGGTTGTGTTCCATTTTCTTTGAATAAGACCCTATTGGTCCTTATCCCGAAAGTGGCGAATCCGACTTCTTTAAAGCAATTCCGACCTATTAGCTTGTTGAATGTCATATATAAGGTGGTGACGAAGGTTTTGGCGGAACGGATGAAGACGGTGCTGCCTCTCCTTATTAACCAAGCGCAGTCGAGCTTTGTGCCTGGTAGGCACATTACTGATAATATTATTCTGGCTCAGGAGCTTATCCACTCGATGCGTGGCCTACGTGGCAAAAGTGGTTTTATGGCGGTAAAGGTGGATTTGGAGAAGGCTTACGACTATTTGAGGTGGGATTTTATTCGGGAGTCCCTGGTGCTTGCGGGATTTCCGGCCCCTTTTATGACGGCTGTGATGGCCTGTGTTACTTCGGCGACCATGCAGTTGCAGTGGAATGGTGGTATCAGTGAGGAGTTCACTCCAACCCGCGGTGTCCGTCAGGGTGACCCAATTTCACCCTACCTTTTCGTCCTTTGCATCGAATGTCTAGCTCATTTAATTGATGCTTCGGTGGCGGATGGGTCGTGGAGACCTCTAGTTGTGGGGAGTAGCACAATCTCGGTACCATACCTCATGTTTGCAGATGATTTGTTGTTGTTCCTGGAAGCGGATCTTGCTCAGGCGGAGGTGTTGCAGTCTACATTACGACGCTTTTGCCTTGCTTCTGGGTTGAAGGTTAGTGATCCTAAGACCCAGGTTTTCTTTTCCCCCAATGTGGTGGAAGGCACTCATGTTGAGCTGGCCCGTCGCTTGGGATTCCAGGCTGTGGATAATTTGGGAAAATATCTGGGCATGCCATTGATTCATAGCCGTGTGACTAAGAACACATATGTGGAAATTATCGAGAAAGCGGAGAAGCGGCTTGCGGGATGGAAGGCTTCGTCTCTTTCGATGGCGGGAAGAGTCACACTTACCCAGTCCATTCTGGCCTCCCTACCATATTATGCTATGCAAACGGCTTCGTTGCCGCATGGGGTGTGTGATAGTTTTGAGAGGAAGTGCCGGAATTTTGTGTAGGGGGGTACGGAGATCTCTCGGAAAATCAGTCTGGTGTCTTGGTCCGAGGTTTGTCGCCCTAAGTCTGTTGGTGGTTTGGGGCTGAAAGAGCAGCGCCTGATGAACAAGGCCTTGCTTATGAAGTTGGCTTGGAATTTCCTCTCTAAGCCGCATTTGCTGTGGTGTCGGGTGCTTAAGGCGAAATATAATCTAGAACCGACGACTATGGGGATGGATTATGATTTTCCACGGGGCTCGACGGTTCTTCGAGCTATTCGTGATGTTTGGAAGGAGACCGTGATGGGGTGTCGATGGACTGTTGGGAATGGTAACCGGGCTCATTTTTGGTGGGATCGATGGGTGGGTCTCCAGGAACCGTTAGCGTCTGTCGCAACCCGCCCGATTCCGGAGGAGTTCCTATTTGCCCCGGTTAGCGCCTACGTTGGTTCCGATGGCCGGTGGGATTGGCCGGCGTTTCAGGGGTGGCTGCCGGCAACCTATTTGCTTCGGACCGCCGCGATCCCACCGCCACGGGAGGATGGCCGGGAGGATGCGATATATTGGGGGTGGTCGGCCGATGGTTCCTTCTCCACTCGGTCGGCTTATTCAGCATTACAGCAGCCTGAAGCAGGTAATGCATATGGGATATGGCGGCTGATTTGGCGGTGGGGTGGGCCGCAGTGGGTTCGTTCCTTTCTGTGGTTGGCCGCGCGAGAGAGCCTCTTGACAAATACGGTGCGAGTGTGACGACACATGGCAAGCTCACCTGTCTGTCTGATGTGTGCGGCGGCGGAGGAGTCAACGATTCATGTGTTACGAGACTGCGAGGCGGCGCGGTCAACGTGGCAACGGCTAGTCCCGCGGGCTCAGTGGCGACGGTTTTTTTCTTCAAACCTTCGGTGTTAGTTGACACAAAATCTTTCGGGCCGCCTTTTCCCTGAAGCGGAGGATTGGGTGACTGTGTTCGGGCTCACAGCCTGGCGTTTGTGGCGATGGAGAAACCTCGCGATTTTTGAAGGTACCGAGTTCGATTTGGATAGTCGGGTGCGTGAGGTTTTGACTCTTTCCAATCAAGTACGGGGCGCCCTGATAGAGAGCCAACGGATTGGGGCGAGTGCCATTTGGGAGACGAGATGGATTGCTTGGTCAGCTCCGCCGGAAGGCATGTTAAAGGTTAATACGGATGGTATCTATATTCCGTCGTCGGGGATGGCTAGTGCGGGGGGAGTCATCCGGGATCATCTTAGAAATTGGGTCAGTGGCTTTATGATGAATATTGGTTACTGCTCGATTATTGGGGCTGAGTTATGGGGTTTGCTACAGGGCTTACAGTTGGCTTGGGATGTTGGGGCACGTAACGTTATATTGGAGGTCGATAACAAGAGCATTATAGAGATGGTTCACCGCGAGGAAACGACTGGACCGTATGGGAGGCTTATTCGGGCCGTTTGGGATTTGTTAGGTCGCTCATGGAGGACTGTGCTCGTTCATGGCTATCGCGAATCTAATTTTGTGGCGGATTTTATGGCTTCGATGGCGGCTAAGGGGCCGGGTGGTTTCCATCGGTTTGATAGACCTCCTAGTGGGGCGGGGTTGTGGTTACAGCATGATGCGACTGGCGTCGCCCATCCTCGCCAGATCGTGATCTAACGACAGCGTTAGCGTCGTTCCCTTCCAGTACCAAAAAAAAAAAAAATCAAAAATTAACCGAACAGAATTATTCGTCAGTTAACCGATTTTTTACCAAAAATAATTTTTTAAAGATTGTTTACTGGACCCAAATATATGAGCCTTTTCATTAAGCCAAAACACAATTGTTCAAACAAGAAAAAGAAAAATACAACCTAAAAACACATCTAAATTAAATATTGCAATTCCAAATCCAACAAGTCCAAGTCCAAGCTAGAAAAATAAAAATAGCATCCCAAAATAAGTACGAGAAAATAAAACGAAAGACAAAAAAAAAATACTTACAGCCGTGTGCCTGGCGAGTCGACGGTGAAAATAAAACAACAAAATAGAAATACTTACATTCGTATGCCAATATAACAAGAAACAAGAAATGAAGTTTAAAAATTATCATACCTTGAAAATAAAACTAAGATTTTGGGAGGGAGAGAAAATCAGGGAGACTTTAGCCCTTGACGGTGAACAAGTGCAACTGTGTGCCTGGCGAGTAGAAGACCGGTGACCACGAGCTCCTTGACTGGACCGAAGACCGAATTACACAGAGATGAGGGGATGATTTTTTGCTGAGCGGATGACGTTTCGGGGGATGTCGGGATGGTTTGGATTGGGGCGATTTAGGGTGGACTGCGGAGGAGCAGCGGCGGAGGAGCAGCATCTAGGGGTGTAGGGGCGAAGGATTAGGGGGCGACGGTGGAAGATTTGGGGAAGAGATACGAGCCTGTTTCTGAAATGCGAAGAAGATAGAAGGTGTTAGTGTACTGAGTTAGGGTTATTGCTCGGATTAGATATGCGGCTAGTGTTGCAATCCATTCTTTTCTAATAATAAAATAATCGCTCAGAAAAGTGTTAGTTAACACATAAATAGGGAAACTAATTGTGTGCACAACTCATAGTTATATAATTTTTGCAACTTAAACGTTATATAATGACAAAGATTAATGTGTCAATACTAATGACAAAAATCCAATACATAGTAATGCTATGAGTACACCACTAGTAAATACGAAACATAATTTCTTAAAATCCAAGTCTGTAGAACCAAAATGGGGGAAAATTATTAAGTCTTGCAACATCAGACTCCACCAATCCACTTGTTGTACATCGAAAGTGCAAGCTCCTCGCGCCAATTAGTCCATTCTTTAGTAGGTTAAACGACGTCCACATACTCATTTGGTTCAAACGTTTCATGGTTGCTATGTCCCGTCAAATTATCCCCCATCTCAACCTCAATCGAATCATGGGTCATAGTAGAGCGTATGAAGTTCTGAAGAAAGCAACAAGGCAAAATAACCTTTGTTTGAGTTTGTATATAAAAAAACATTTTGCTCCTCAATACCGCCCTTAACTCAAGATGCAATGTCTTTTCATAGCCTTCATCTTCAAAACCCCAAAAGCCCTTTCAATGACATTGTTTGCCCTAACATGTCTTAGGTTGAATAGCTCCTTATGATTTTTAGGTGCACGGCTACCTTCTCTAAAGTCATCTAAATGATACTGTACACCTCGATACAGAGCCAAAAAACCCGGTCCGTTTGTGTACCCACCGCCGCACAAGTAGTACTTCCCTGTCAATGAAATTTTAAAACAAGCATATATAAGAAAATTAATAGAAAATATGAAAAAAATGTTAGAGAAGACACCCCATCTCTCACTAGAATTCTCTAGCGCCCGCACCACCTGAGAACTTCATTCCATTGATTCTTGCGAATTCAAGTTAGGAATTACCACTCACATATGAACAACCACTATCCCGAATCCACTTAAGCCTGAATTTATTTTATTTGATTGAGATATCTCCCATTTGCAAGCTAATTTGAGTGGGCACAAGTTTCAAATATTTCCGCCAATTAGCAGCACTTGATTGATTTTGTTGTTAGTTGGAGTTAATATTATCAACACTCAAATGCTTTGGCGTAATAATACCCACATTTGAGGCAACGAATTTGATTCACTCCGCAAGCAACTTTGAGTGAATTGCGCAGCAACCTTCAAAACTGAGCATCTATGGGTAAATCCAAGAGAAAGCTCAAGTACCGAAAATTGACTGAAGAGGAGTGCTCCGGTCACTCTAATGATCTCGATGATATCTCTCATGTGGACTCGGATGAAGAGCAACTATCTATGGGAGAAATGAGAATGGAAGTGGATAGCACAAAGACTAAAGATAGAACTAATGATGATATTAATGTGAACTTAGTTGATGATGATGATGTTGCGGAGGCTATTTATGAGCCTATAGCTGCTGCGAAATAGGTTGGCCAAGAGAAGAAGCAAGATCATGCCACAACCCAACCTTCAAAACCCGCCCACAACATGTTTGACAAAATGACACAAAAGAATTCGGACTCATTGAAGAAGAGGCCATTTTCGGCTCTCTTCGCCGACAACCGCAAAGCCTCTCTTGGTCTCAAATTGAACTATATTCTACCGGATAATGGAGTGGACCTTGAAGATGAAGACTTGTTGGACGTAGCAAGCACGCGGGGCTATTGCCTAGTTGGGTACTTTACCCAAAGACATCCCAGCAAATAGACATTATTGAGGCTTTGCAACTCATGGAAAGTCCAATATGAACACATCCCTAATGTTAATGGATGGATCGTCTTCAAGTTAAAAAATGAAGAAGATAGAGAAAATGTCCTTCAAAGGGGCGCCCCTACTCTATTTAGGGCCGAGGGCTCATCCTCAAAGTGCTCCCTAATTGGTTCTAATTCGGCGAGGATGACATCAAAATCGTCCTCGTTTGGATCAATCTCCCCCTCCTCTCATGGAATTGTTGGAGCACCAATGCCCTTAGCAAGATAGCCTCTTGCGTCGGTAGGCCCATCACAAACGACAAGCTCACGGCTACAAAGGACCTATGCAACTAAGCTCGAATTTTGGTGGAGCTCGACCTCTCCAAGGAAAGAGTTTATAGCATTCAGGTCAAATCCAAGGGGAAATTTGTGTTTGAGCAGAAGGTAGAATATGAGTACGTCCCGCACTATTGCAATCAATGCAAATTTACTGGACACTCTAACTTCAATTGTGTAAAACACAAAGCCCACCTAGAGGAAAAGGTCAAAGGCAAGAAACCGATCGGACAAGGCGAGACCATGGGGACTACCAAGAAATCGGTAGAACACCAAACGAAACAAAAAGAGCAACCAAGCAAGAAGGGGTGGGGGGGACACCATAAAGAGATAGGAGAGAACCATGAACCTAAGAAGGTGGGGGTTGTGGGAAAACAACAAAAGAAAGGAGACGAATTGAAGGAGGGGAATGGGGATTGTGAAATGAGAAAAGAGACGGTGGCCATTACATCGGATTTCAAAATTTGAATTTTCACTCTTTTAGCTAATCTGTAGTTGGTGGTAATTGCAACTTTCTTTAAAAAAAAAAAAAACAACTTTAATTGGAAAAGGAAGCAGTTACCTTCATGATCTTTGATCCATCAAGTCTGTATCTGACACGCTTCTCAACAATTTCAACTGGGTAAACAATGTCCTCGAGCATGGCATCATGCACGACTGTGAGTGTCCGAGTTCTTTGCCTTTGAACTACAAACCCTTTTTTAGGCGGCCGAACTATCCTTCTGGTAGCAATAAGTACCACTTCATGCACAGTACCAAATTGACTAATTGACCCAAGACATCAAATGCACATTTAATCTTAAGACAAAAATGTAATACCCTTCGTAGACTAAATATCTTCTCTCCTGAGCATCACTCACACAATATATCTCAAATTTACCTTCCTACTGAACTTCTTCTCCAGCTCTCTCACGAGCCTAGGCTGGATCTTGCAGAATGGCTTCCTCAGACGGTAAGGCACACGAATCACAACAGCTTTCTTGCCGCCAGAAACATCAATTTGCCTGAGAAGTAGTTTATACATTGATTAGTCATACTAATAAGTCAACACGCATCCAAAGTTTCAAGACCTACGAAGCAGAGTTGATGTAAAGGTCCTTCAAGTCACTCTTGATCTCCTAGTTGGTGTTTTACAGATCAAACAAAACCTATTGTTATAGAAAAATTGCACAGCTCATGATAAGTACAACACTCAAAATTTATCACTGTGGCATAAAAACAACTTGATTTGAGCCCTCAGAGCTTGAAACTTTGCACAAAGAGATGTGCAATAAAACAGTCAATAGATTAACAAGTTGAACAACTGACAAAAGATTACCTAATTATGTACACAAAATATGTCATCGGTAGGATAAATAAGGATGGCCTTTTATTTTACTCATAATCAAAGGAAAAAAAATGCAGCTTAGATCTTCGTCTATTAATCCAAAAAAACCCATTCTAGAAGGCTATTTTTGTAGGCAAGTTATTGTTCACAGACGATCTCAATGTTCAATTTTAAGTGCCATAAAACCAAAGTACCAGTTCCAAAAAACAACAACAGAAAATAAGAGTTTTCCATAGATAGAAACAAAAGAGTTAACCCGTTCCATGAGTACAAAAATCAACTAACTGATCTGCCATTTTTTCAACCAATCCGACCAAGCTTACATGGAACCATACACAATCAACAATCACTTTTGAGACAAAATACACCACAAAAAAAGAAAAACATATTTTTGAAAACAACAATATTTTCGACTAAAGGTTAAGATAAAGGGAAATGGCAGTAACATATAACCACACAATACATTATTCATTAATCAAAATCTAGCATAAGAAAATTGAAAAGAAGAAATTTAATTCAACACTCACAGCAATGTGTAACTCAAGGAAGAATCATCTGAAATTGTTTTTTTTTAAACAAAAAACACTAGAAACCAGCATGAAATGATCCATAAAATATATGAAATAAAACGTGAATGAGGTATGTAACACTGTCGAGCGGTCCTAAAAAATCAAGCACAGGCTAACATATCATATGAAGATATCCACCGAGGAAATGGAAACCAAAATTAGAACAACAATCGGTGTACCTTGACGGAGCTTAAAACCCTACATTTTGGCGCCGGAAGGCAAACACTACAAAGATAGAGATCAACACGAAAGAGTGACAAAAGGCTCGGATAAATGAGATTATGTACACAAACAAAAATCCTAGTTTATTGGGTTGGACCGTAAAATTGGACTTGTCGCCAATTTATTTGGTTGGGCTATAAGTTCTTATGTGGCTTGCAATCTCATAATATGGATTTATAAGTCATAAATTAAATACTTACCAGTAAGACACTCGTGTTGTAATGCCCAGAATATTAGTTACCATTTATGGAACTCGACTTTATTTCCATACATAGCCAGCTTCTTAATTTTGATGCATTTATTACATTTATTTGCATTAAATTGAGTGATTAGTATTAAAATCTAAGCCATGGCGGCTTTATTCGATTTTTAATTGTTAAAGTCGGATTTATTTAGCCCAAGTATCGATTGTATTTTAAAAATCGAGCCTTGGATTAATCGAGCTTCATTAAAGCTAATCGAAGGCGAATAATTTATTTATTCGAGCCCAATCCACTTTGAGCGAATTCAATTATTTTAGCGGCCTGTTTAAGTTAATCGAGCTTATATTCAATTTTATTCGGCCCATTTAATTTCAGTAAATCGAGCTCAATTATTTTACTATTTTGGATCGACTAGATTAATTTAATCTAAGTTCTGAGCATTTAATTCCCTAGTCGATATTCGATTTAATCGAGCCTAAGTCGGATAAACTTACTATCTCGATTTTTTTAAGCCCAAGGAAATCCTAAAGCCCAATGTTGAGCCCAATTACAACACAAAACCCTAAATTTCCTACCACTATAAATATCCCCCAATATCACTTCATCTTCTTCCCAACACTTTACTCAAACCCTAGCCACCATTCAAGACTCACCACCACCACCTTCAAGCACAATTCCTAACCAGATTCCCGGCCGTTTTCCGGCAAGCAGTACCCGCCGGTGACCTCCGAACCCGAGCTGTGCCACCTTGACCCACGTTGGTCCAAATTGAGCCCAATCCCGGACACCCAAGCTCAGCCCTGTCACGCTCGCAACTCTCCCACATCGACCTGACCTCCGGCGAGCTCACCCCGCGTCTGTATCGGTGTCGTCCCTGCCACTGCGCTCGACTTCCGTCCCCCCTGTTCACGCGGCGTTTGCACAGTCGCATTTCTGGCGACCTCAGCTCACGCGCCTCCTAGCAGCAGCTCAAGCTTGCCACCGCGTCACAACTGGTTCAGCTCCGCCCAACTCCGGTTCGCGACCACCATGTCGACCTGACCTCCGGCGAGCCCTCACGACGGCGACCCGAGCTCGCACCCTCAAGCCGCGTTAACAGCCACCAAGTCATTCCCGTCACGCTGCCGCGCCTAGCTCCTACCGCAGCTCCGGTCAACGCCGTTCGCGACGGCCCTGTTCCGGCGAGTTCACGCCGAGCTCCGCCGTCGACGTCCACTATAGCTCTGACCGACAGCTCTTTTCCACGACCAGCTGCACCAAGCTCCAAACTTGAACCAGTTCCGGCAGCCCCAGTCTCGAGCAGACCCAATCGGATCTGGACGACTCCGAACCGACTCTGAAAATACCCAACTCGGTCACGGTAGAGTCAGCTCGGTTCAAATTCGACCTGTTTCAGCAACCTGACCCGTTTTGTTTCAACCAGTCCAGTTTTCTTTAGACTGGTCTATTCTCGGTTTTCAGATTCGAGCCGATTTGAGGTAAAATGGCTTGAACATGACTTCAATGGCTTAGTTATGATTAATGAGTAATTATAAAATCGATAATTAGATGTTCTGAGTATTTTTGAATTATTGGGATTTTTCGAGCTTGAAGTGGATATTTTCGATTTTATTATCGGAAAGGGATCAAATAGCGATTTAAATTTTATAAATTTCGTTGGATTGTTTTGAGGCTTAGGTGCAAATTTGAAAAATTTTAGAGTTCGTTTGGTATGCGAACGAGATTTTTGAATGATTTGAGCGGTTGAAGCGATTACTAGTTAAATGTGTTAGGAGTTGAATTGAGTTGCGATATTTTGACCATATATCATGTATATGTTGTGTACGGTGTGTTTCAAATTTCGTTATTTTCGGACACCGTTTGATATAGATTAAAAATCGAGACATTAGCCTCATTTCGCGATATTTTAGAATATTAGTCGGATATAATTTTAGCTGCAGTTGTTGATTATAATAAATAACATAGAAATTATTATTTAAGGATCGACTTTAAATGAGTTAAGATTTTCGAGAGTCAGAAACCCTATAACCGGATATTATTTCGGATCCGAGTTTAATGGATCGAACACTAGTACCGTTTAAACAATTTTAGACATCGTAGCACTAATTCGTAAAGCGTATCGTCGCCCCACACACGTGACCAACTCTCGTCCGACCGTTGGAGCTGAACCACCGAGTGCGTGCCCGGGCACCGAGTCCGAGTCAAACCACCGAGTGTGTGCCCGTGCACCGAGTCCATCCGACCTACCGTCTACCCGCCGTATCCGTTAGTCATGGTCCAAGCACGCCCTTGTGTCAGTGATCGTGGCATCGTTTCAAACCCGTGCATCGACTAAGCTGTCTCAGTCGGGTTCGTGTCGGCCCGAGTTGCAACGCCGAACTCGAACCACGGTCAAACCGAGCTACACATAGTCAAGCGAATGATCGATCGACTTCGAGTGAGTCGTCGGTCTAGTTCAGTCGAACTGGTCCAGTCATTCTGGACGGTTCGAAATATATTTCAGATAGAATTTCAGATATTTTTCAGATAAATTTCAGATCCAATCAGATTAAGATTTCAGATAGAGTTAAGATTTCAGATATATTTAAGATACATATTTCAGATTTAATCAGATTTAAGAATTCAGTCAGAATATAGTTCCAGACTTAGAAATATTTCAGATAACTCTAGTATGCCTCAAAGACATTTAATATTTTCAAAATCAGCTCGTAAATCCCTAAAATGATTTTAAAGCCGAGTGAGAGAACCTAGACAGCTCAGATAATATAATTTGAGTTTTCAGTTTAAGAGAAGTACTTAGAATATATTTTATGCTTATATATTTTGTAGCTTTTGGAGAGTCGAGCCTCCGACAGCTGCAAACCATTCAGATCTTGCATTTCAGCATATCAGGTGGGGACCCTGTACTGGGTATTACATCTTCTATAATCGCAATACCATGGTTGAGGTATGTATGTAAGATTTCGCCCAAATAGGGGCGATTACCCTAGCAAGTAGATCCTTTCTAGCTAGGTGAATCGAACGTTAGTTAAGATAAGATAAGATAAGAACTCTAGTGCAGCTTTGAGTTAAGTGAATTAAGCACCCTAGAGCAGCCTTGAGTTAAGCCTAATTTCAGATGATCTTAGTATAATTCCTCCCTAAGGGACATTAATCTAGAGATAGGTTTCATCATAACCAAGTGTTTCGAATCCCCAGTAGTATCAAGGACTCTAGTGCAGTTGTGAGTTAAACTCCAACCTTAGAAGTGCATAAGGGTTAGTTTTTCCCTAGTATGGGCAACGACCTACTGATTAGGTCCTACAGTTGCTTATCGTTAGTGTGAGGACGTAGTGTCCTTCTCGCCTGTTAAGCAGTCAGTTGAGCAGCAATTATATATAGTAAGTTGAACAGCTATTAGAGATAGATGAGCAGCAATTATAGACAATATACTTATTTATACGCATTTGTGATGTGTTCTATCATATTAGATGTATGCTTAGATTGTGATGTGTTTTATCATGTTAGACGAATGCTGAGGTTGTGATATGCTTATCATATCAGATGTATGTTTGGTTCGCGATATTGCAACTATAGTTTGAGCAGTCATTATAGTTAGTTAGTTGAGCAGCAATTATAGTCAGTCAGTCAGTTGAGCAGCAATTATAGTCAGCCCGTCGAACACCCATTATAGTAGTCAGTTGAGCCCCAGTTATAGTTATCCAGTCGAGCAGATATTATAGTCAGTCAGCTGATCAGCGATTATAGGCAGTCAACTAAGTAGCAGCTATAGATGGTTGCTTATTTAATTGTTTATTGGATGAATGTCAAATCTGTTAGTGAAATGTTCATCATCATATCGTTTTCTGCCGACCCATTAAGTACTTGCATATATGCCGATGTCATGATATATTATTATATTAGTTGTATATTTCAGTGCCGGTTCCGGCGTAGCACGTGGATTATTTATGCTCACGCCCCCCCCCCCACTAACCATTTTTCAGGTGATGGTGTCGAGCGTAGAGCGTGAGCCGATGATGTGGTGGTGGTCATAGGAAGGATATTTTTAGTAAACATGCCATGTATATTTTAACATGTTTGAGTTATTATGCTTTGTTGATACAAGCTTACATTTGCTTCCGCACTCAGTATTTCAGTATCTAGAATTTCAGTCTATGCATGCTTAAATCCTGAGATGTTTAGAGTAATGAATTATTCTCGGTTGCATGCTAGTAGTTTAAATATATTAGAGATTAAAGATTTAAGATTAAAGTTGAGTAGCATCCCACATATTAAAGTTAAAGTATTTTCGAAAAATTAATATGAGTTTTCGAAAATTAAAACAGAGTTTTGCTTTTATAGCGCGAAAAATTTACTCTGATTTTAGTAAGTTTAGGAGAGGTGTTACAATTGGTATCAGAGCCACTTAGTGGTTCTGTATACTGAAATTTTAGTAGAGATATGACCACACCACGCTCACGCCGCGCCGACTCCGAGGTACGTCACCTGAACAACCTTTATTATTTGCGAATGCATATTTAATTATAGTAAGATTATTTTAGGGGCGTACGATCTATCCTTCGATTTAAGATTTGAGAATTCTAGTCAGAACTCTAGCCAGAACTTAGAAGATTTTAGTGTAACCGGAACTCTAGCCAAGCTAGGTGTTTTCGGAATTCGATGATAAATTATTAAAGTATAGTGTAGCTATTTATTAATCGGCTATAATATTAAAGTCAGAATTTCAGCAGAGTTAGTTATTGTGTATCTCATCACTTTTAATGCTTATATTGTTGAGGTATTTGTGTAAGTAGATTGAAGGATCGAGACGGATGAGTAATCCCGTCTTGGTCAATATTTCAGTATATCAGTTATGACTCGGATGAGTGGGCGATGCCCAGCCTAAGTCTAGCGTCCAGATGAGTGGGCGATGCCCAGCCTGGATTTCAGTGGGAGGGGACCCCCAAAAGGTGCACATCAGTACCGGATATCGATAGTCCCATAGTTAGCCAAATTATTTTTGCTATGCCGATCTCTGGTGGGATTCGTACTGAGAGAAGTACTACCCGACCCACTAAAGAGAGAGGATAGAGAATCAGTTTCTGGCCCTGAAGCAGGGCGACAGAACAGTGGACGAATACGAGCGCGAGTTCACTCGCCTCGTTTTCTTTGTCCCCCACATGATCGCAGACGAGGAGAGAGATGCCCTAGCACAAATACCCCTGCCACTACAGCCGGTTCCACCAGCCTGAGCCACATGCGAATGCCACCACCCAGGCCGTTACAATAGTACATGAATACACTAACGATAGACCGTAGCAGTCGCCAGATGGTCCGAGAAGAGCCAGAAGTAGAAGAATAACCAACCCTCGAGCGTGCAAGAGTTGTAAATGAGCATAACACCTGAGACCTTGCGTTTTGGATGACGATTGCAATCTAGAGAACTATTCGTTACCAAAATAGTTAACAAATGACTTTTGGCGTAGACATCGTACGATCTTGTATGAACACAAGTGCAATTCACTAACGTTTTGAGATAGTATTTAAGAGAGAAGGTTTCACGATCAAGAATGGACATGCAGATGATCAGGAAGATACCCGAGTATTCTAGCCAAGGATTGAACTTAAGTTTTAAATTTTAATTTCAGTTGCGTCTATGTAGTACCGGTTTCCAGTGTATCATAGTTACTATTCCGGGTGACCATGGCGGCTTGAAATAAGAGTCACTAAGTCGGTTATACCATGGAGGCTTGAAACTGGATCGGGACAAACATAGTTCTCCATACGATATAGATTCTTGCCAGAGGGAACTGGCTCCGAATCGCGGGTACACCGCATGCCAGTGCTGCATGTTGGTATGCCACGCCCGAGGGCCCCGGGTTGTTGGTGTGCCGCATTGCGACGTGCGCGTGCAAGTATCGTGTAGTCATGTACCAAAAGGTACGATATAGA